CACCCCAGCCCAACATGCAGGACCCAACACCCCTCTTCTAGCTCATTATCAAGATGGGGACAAAGCCAAGTGTAGGTCTGTTTTAGCATTGTCACTTCACCTCACTTTGCCTTTTTTCCCCATTAACATTTCCTGATGGAGGGTGAGGGGTAGGATGGTGGTGTCCACTTTCATACCCCCAAAGAAGAGGAAAACAAAACTCAGTGAGGCAAGAGATATGTTTTGAAGGCTCCAGGGAGAAGCTCATGTTACTCACACACACGGCCCCACACCCGAGTCATTGATCCGAATGAGCGATGAAGAATGTACAAAGGACAATGCACTTGAGGACACTCCATAAATAGCACCCCTTCCCCACCAGAATTTTGAATCAATGAAGACATAAGAAAAGAGAATAAAGAAGATAGAGAGCAAAATATCAACTTTTTACTGTTAAAGCTGATGAATGGAGCTTAATCTGGGGACAAGTGGGTTTTCTCATTCTGAATCCCAGAATTATACAGAATGACCCACCCAGGTACAGACCCGGCTGGGCTGGGGGAGGTTCTCCTGCAGGGCAATCTGCCCCTGGAAAACTTGAGACCTGGAGGGGCAACAGAGTGTGCGTTTCCCATAGGCGGGCTCACTCCAAGAGAAAGAGGACAAAGCAGGGACGACCAGCCTACTCTTTCCCTTCCGAGTTCACAAGACTAGGTTACTTCTCCAAGGAGGAGGGATCAGATAAAGAGAGAACAAGAATGTTACTCTAGCGGCGTGTCCTTTAGTTAGAAGGAAATATCAGCAATGAGGAAGCTGGACTCAACAGCCCCCAGGCCCAATACAACAATTTTTTCTTTCAATTTGGTAGCAAGAACCAAACCAACAAATATATATGTGTGTGTGTGTGTGTGTGTGTGTGTGTATATATATAATATATAATATATATATATTATATAATATATATATATTATATATAATATATTACATATTGTATGTATAATTCATTAGGCATATATATGCATTTAAGTATACATATGGATATATACACACACATATATGCATATATGTAATATTATCTAAAAATTAGAAAATAACAGTAACTATCTTTTAATATTTTGTGAACAAGAAATGGAATAATGCCACTTAGCACTTAATAAATACACTCAATAAATTCTAATCATAATAATAAACAAATAGTAACTAAACACTGTACTGGGTGCCATGGAACTGGAGGGATTTATTCAGTCACATAGACTAGGCAACGGGGACTGAGACAAGTACACAGACATTGAATTCAAGGCCGAGTAAGAGAAGCACCAAAAAGGAGAATCCACAGAGGGAGAAATGGCATTGGACTAGGGTGTTTAAGAAGTTCCCATAGCCAAAGTGACATGTGTGATAAATGTTCTGGAAAGATGTTCTTAGGCAAAGAAGTTGGAACAGGGAGAGTAGTCCCGTATGAATGAGGTGTTATATTCTTGAGGAACGTAATGGGAAGCAAAGTTTTATATTTGTATCCACATCCCACCAGTCTCTCTTTGGGCTTGGTGGCACCCTTGGCTATAGGAAAAGTAGCAGTTGGAATGAGTTGGCAAACCCTTCAGGTTAGATAGAGGGCTGCACACACCCTTCCACACCGTTTGTGCTATCGTCCGTGTTCCTTCTCCTACTTTCCTCTATGCTTTTTAGAGCTCAGAGTTCATCTCTGTCTGGTTCTAGCACCTCCCCCAATGCCCATCCTTTGGTGGACAATCCTGTCTCCTAACTGGTATATCCATTAGCAGCTTTCCCCAGCCCAAGTTTTCCTCTGTTCCTCTCCAATCCAGCCCTTCTGGGCCACAACAAGAATCTACCCCCTCCTCCAGAGCCCACACCCTCCCACGGGCTGGCATCCTTCTATCAGGCCACATCACTGGGCGTTGGTGGTACAGAGCAAGCTAATGTCAGCACTTCCACCTCTCCTCCCGAGCCAGCCCCACTGGCCCCTTAACCACACACCATGCCTTCTTCTGACTCTCCTTCTATCTGTCAGCACATTCCCAGTCTCAAGCTAACACAGCCACACTCCCCTGGAGACACATGTGAGCACCTCCCTAGCCTAGATGCATATATTTTCTCCTGGTTCAACAGAAATTGTGGCAACAGAGTTGTAGAAGGCCATATTAGAAACACCAGAACAGAATCTTGGGTTACCTGCAGGAGTAAAGATACACAGTCCTTTCTGGGCTCCCTGCTTTGGACTCCTGGGGCCCATGGAAGACATAGATTAGACATCCTAATGTTCAGTTTAGTTGAAGGTTGGCTGCTCAAAACCAGTAACTCTTTTATTTTAGTTATGATATGGCAGAAATTTTGGTAGATGTCTGTCTTTGATGTTCCTTAAACTCAGCTACCAATGCTCTCATCTGAGTTCCTCTATTCACGTATATAATGGAATCATATTATCAAGAATAAAGCTTAGCTCACTGACATTTTTCCAACACTGGGGGAGCCCTAGGAACAACTCCTTGACTTTGAATTTGCTCCAGGGAAGACAGAAAGTCATTTGAAAGAGAAAACACCACATGGTCTGTTAGTTGTATTATTAATACCACTCCTGCTCAGAGACAATGGTTCCAGGTCTAGAGTAAACTTGACCAAGGCAAAGGCATTAGAAACTCACTCCTTAGAAATAAGCAGTTTTCTATACAACTTTTAGTAGAAACCTTTTTTGCTGGACAAACCCATGAGAGACGACACTAGTTCTACCCAGAACAGCTATATTGATTATGGCTAGTCACCTAGGCTAAAAACTTAGCATCATCCTGACTCCTTCCCCTCACTGGTTCTCCATGTTCAACTGGACAAAACTCAGTTTGGTTGCACAGTGTCCTTCCTTTCTAGTTCCATTGCTACCACTCAGCTCAGACCCTCTGTCTTTAACCTTCACCTGGATTATTTAAATAGCCTCCACCATTGTCTGACTTTTCATTTCTCTCATGTCAACCCACCCAGCACTCTGAAATCAGATTTATTTTCCTGACTTTAATCCATTTTTAAATAAGTTTCATTGTTCCACATCTCACCAAAGAGCAAACTCCTTAGTTGGCATGCAGGGGTCTCTAAAACCCAACCCCACCGACCCCTCCAGCTATGTGATTCTGCTCCTCTCCCTGGATCCCAGGATACAGTCAACTCCTCATGACTCACTGTTGCCCAAATTTCATCTTCTTGCATCCTGCCTTTCTTTCTATAGGAACCACCTCATTCTTCACCCCATCTTTTCCCTTCTACTTATCTATTGATTAATAACCATCCCTTCATTTCTGTGATACAGTAGGGGTTATTTGTGATTGGCTGACCCAGCACCCATTCATTTGGGAATTTCACTTCTTCCTTATTGAGTTAATGCGGGTAAGCTACCTGACCCAGTGTGGCCAACACAAATATTTCATCTCCAAGCAATAGTGATTGGACCAGATTTGATTATGAAAGCTATGCAGGAGTAATCAGGATCTCCTGGGTGGTTTCTCAGTTGGGGATTAGAGAGGAGGGGGTCTTCTTGGTAAGTGCTCCAATCAGCCATCTTTCTTGGCACCTGGAGAGAGTCTGTCCATCTCTCAGCTCCAGGCTCTGCTCTGTATGTTGGCTTCACTTTCGAGCAGAGTCCTGGTACTATCACAAGTCTTTGGATACATCTGTGTCTTTGGACTTACCAGTTGCATGAAGCAATAAATATTTCCGTTTGCTTTTAATAAATAATTTTTGTTTGCTTAAGTTGAAGTTGAGTTTTAGCCATTGATAAATTAGAGATTCCTGACTAGGATATTCATCACTTTGTGATAAGTACAAAGAGACATACATATATTCTGGTACCATTCCTAGAGTACAGTGTAAACCATTCCAGGGCAGCTTGTCTTATGCAGCTCTGTGTCTTCTGGGGTACCTAGCATTTAATAAGACTTCAAACATACTGTTTGCTCGGTTTAGTGAATGAACAAAGAAGTATTAGACAAAAATAACCTGTTCTCCAACATGACTGTCACTGACCACCCTCATCAAGCCATAACTTTGGACATGTAGGCAAATACACATTTTGTCACCAAAAGCACTTTCAACCTATAAAAAGAAAAAACATAATAACATTATATACATTTTCAGACTTTACAGGCACCTGATAGAATTTTGAGGGGATAAACGTGACTCGGGGCTGCATGGACTAAGCCTTTGCCACACATCTGGGTCTGAGCTAAGTCAGCTGAGAGATGCCATTCCAGATCCACAGGCCAGAGTAACGTCCAGAGTCCACTGGACCTGGGGACCAAGTAACTGCTGAGAGAGCCTTTTAAAGATGAGAAGAGATCAAACTTTTGAGGAGCACCCTGAAAGGGGGGCTGGCATCAAAATATCCACGACAGATGAACACTGGCCAGACAACCCAGGCACGTGATCCTGCCTGCCATGTTTCTTATGAGCCAGGGCAAGGTCAGACTAGGTTTCCATCTCATTCAATGAGGAAATGATCTGTTCGTCTAAGGGGTTTGAAGAAGTGCTTCAGTTTATCAAGTGTTTGTGTCTTTTTTTATTTCCTGTTTCTTCTTCCTGTACTTGGGGTGGGTTGGCCAGTGCCTCTAGATGGCAACTTCCATGGTACTGGAACTACTGGGTTGCAGGACCTACATTTGCTTCTGACTTTCTTGCCCAGCCAGCAGCCCCTTTTGCCCCACCTACCCCAAACCACTGTTCTTTACTGTTCTTTGGAAAGAACCCAGTGGCCCAGTAAGGAGCTGTTTCCAGCTGATTAGCCAAGTGGAAACTGGGTCAGAGTCCCAGCCCGCTGTGCCTCTTGGTGACTGCTGGAGATGCTGGAAAGACCAGGCTCCATTTGCTACTCTCCCCTCCCCTCCACATGCTCAGTGGAGAGCCCTTGATCCTCTCCACCTGACAGTACAAGCCCCCCACTTCCCATTTATTGTGCACACCCAACAGATTAGGAAGCCAATGCCACACCTGACCAAGTTTGTCCTCTTATTTCATGGTAGCAAGAAGACAGAGGCTCCATCAGCCTTGGATGTCCACAGCTGGGAGCAGACACCATCAGTCGCGAGGTGGGGAGCCATGTCTTTCTCCCTGAGGTCAGAGCCCTTCCTACCAGAATGTTCTGTCTGTCCCTCAACAGGTGCACAATCTGGAAGCTGGAGTAATTTGATCTGAATGAAACTATCTGAGTATTGTCAGAGCGCGTGCACGTGTACACCATGGACACTTGTGCATACACGTACATGCACACACACAGGTGAACATACACACGTGCCAGCCTGTATGTGCACATTACCTTGTGCAGAAATGTGAGAGAAAAAACAAAGTGGGAGAGAAGGATTGGAGAACCAATTTAGAAGAAAGACAAAGGTAGATAAAGACAATGATCAAAAGAGATGTCCCATCCCCACCTTATCCTGGGCACTTCTGCTTCCTTGGAAATCTTACACTACAAAATTTTTCTTCCCTTTCCTCTGTCTTCAATCTCTATTTTCTTCTCCTTCTTTCTGCATACAAATATTCTGAAGTCTCATTCTCAAAAGAAAGCAGAAAAAGGGAAGAGAGGAGAAAGAAAGCGCAGAACAAAGAAAGAGGAAGCAAAGGAAAAGAGGAAGCAAAGAGGCGAAGGGTGGAAGGTGGGATCTTCAGGCCCCTACGTCCTTGCTCAGGTGTGATTGCAGGTCTCTCCTCCACTTTCTAGCCCACCTCCAGAGAGCCACCTGCACTGATTCCTTGCTCTCATCTACTCTTCTCTCTTCCAGCCACAGTCATCTAGCTGCACGGCTGCACTGAAAGGATTCCAGCCAAGAGCACCATCATGGGCTGAACTGTGTCCCCCCAAATGCATATGTTGAAGTCCTAACCTCGTATCTCAGTATGTGACCATATTAGGAGATTCAGCCTTTAATGAGGTGATTACCTTAATACAAGGTCATAAGTCTGGGGACCTAACTGAATCTGACTGGTGTCCTTATAAGAAGAGACACCGGAAGTGTGTCAACACAGAGAAAAGGCCACGTGAGGACACAGTGAGAAGGTGGTCATCTGCAAGCTAAGGAAAGAGGCCTCAGGAGAAACAAACCCCACCAGCACCTTGGTCTTGGACTTCCAGCATCCAGAACCGTGAGACAATGAATTTCTATTGTTTACTACCAGCCTGTGGTTCTTTGTTCTGGCAGCCTGAGCACACTAGCACAGGCACTAGTGATGCTCTTGTCAAATTGACAGAGTGCACTGAGTCCTCGCCCGCTGGGCCTCCCTGCAGCACACAACACCGTTGAGACTCATCGTCCTTGATACCATCCTCTGTTGGCTCTCGTGAGGCTTCTCGCCCCTGGTCTCCTTCCCACCACTCTGGCTACACTTTTCAGTTCCCTACAAAGGCGACGCACTTTCCACGTGACCCCTACTTTGCATGGCTACCAGCGCTCTGTCCTCAGCCACCTTTACTTATCATTGTATCTGTTTCACTCTGGGTCACCCAACTGAATCCATGACCGCAACTGCCCCCGTGTGTGATGACCATAACACCTAAATCTCCCACCCAAGCCACTCACCTCCTGTGCATACAAACATCTCCTTAACATTACCACTTGATGACATGAGGTCAAACTCACCATTTTAAATATCAGACTTATTGGGCCTCCCTCCCTCCTCTCAAATTTTCTTTCCCTCCTGTTGCTGTAGCCAAGAGATTTATAATTTCTCCAAATGGGAATACTTGTCTTTTCCTAAATTTTCTTCTTAATGCCCCATATTCAATTGGTAACCTTATCTTATCTATTCACTCTTCTTTATTATGAGCTGAATGTTTGTGTTCCTCCAGATTTCATGTTGAAACCCTAATCCTTAATATGGTAGTGTTTGGAGATGGAGCCTTTGGGAGGTAACTAGGTCATGCAGGTGGAGTCCTCATGAGATTAGTGCCCTTCTAAGAACAACAAAAAAAAAACCCCAGCCCTCTCTCTTGCTCTCCATGTGAGGACACAGTGAGAAGGCAGCCATCCACAAACCAGGAAGTAGGTTCTCACCAGACACTGGATCTGCTGGTGTCTTGACTTCCTCACCTCCAAAACTGTGAGAAATAAATGTGTGTTGTTTAAGACACCCAGTGTACAGTAATTTGTTGTAGCAGCCTGAACTAAGATACTCTTAAACGTCATTCAAATTGTTTTCTCACCCATCATCATCTCTATTTTTCTGCTCACTTTTAAAAGTTCTCATCTTTTTTCACTAGAATTACTGGAACAATCTCTAAACTGATCTCATGTCTTAAGTCTCATTACTTTTATTCCATCCTCACTCTTAGGCCCAAAGAGTGAGTTTTCTAAACTATAAAGCGAATCCTAACAGTAGGCTGCTTACAAATCCCTCAGTGGCTCTTCAGAAACAAAGTTAGCCCTTCAGCAGGCAGGAAAACCCTTTGCAAGCTGGCCCTGCCGCCTCTCCAGCCTGTGCCCACGTTCTCACAGACACGCTGTGTTTCTCCCATATCCAACTCTTCCGAGTCCCTGGCCTCACCCTGTTCTGTCACATGCTGCCTCACACCTCAGGGCTTCATACATGCTCTTTCCTCTCCCTGAAGTGTGCTACCTCCATTGTCCAGAAAGGCTTTCCTGGCATTCTTGGGGCAAACTTAAAGGATACCCTTTGGTCACACATGATATTTGGCACATGTCTTCATTACACATTTTGTTGTATTGTAATTGTTTGCATGTCTTGTTTCCAAACTAAAGGGTAAGCTCCTTCAAGGTGGGGGTTATGTCTTTCCTCTCTCATCACACATGCATGACCAGAACAGTGTCTGCTAGCCAGTGAGGGGGCTTGCCAGTCACAGAAAACATTTGTTAAGTAAATGATTGAACAAAGAGACAAGCAGATAAAGAGTGATTTGAGCCAAAGAGAAAAGGGCCACAAACCCAAAGGCATTAGATACACTATGGTTTTGAGGTAAATGAGTCAGAAAACAAAAATTACCAGGTTGCTCCAGCATTGCTGCTCAGCATAATACCACCATAATAGGGTGGGTAGAATCAGGGAGAAAGGGGGCAATGAACTAGAGAGGAAATTCAGTGTGGACCAACAATTGTGACAAAAGATGGTAGCAGCATATAGTTGGCAGTAGGGAATTGCTGGCTATTAAACTAACTTGGTGTAATTTAACTCATTAATTGGTTTTTCAAGTAATGAAAGACTTGGTGTCTGTGGCTTGGGAGAGCGGAATTAGCTCTGAAAGGAAAATAAAGAAAAAGGAGAGGAGGTTTCAGTGTAACGTCAAGACCTGTCCAGCAATATAGCTGCTTTTATGTGGACTGGGTCAAAATCTAGGAGTTTTGGTTCTGCCATTTATAAGTTCTGTGGCCTTCAGTAAGTTACTTAACCTCTCTAAGCCCCAATTTCCTCACTGTAAAATGGACATAATAATATACACCAAAACATAAATATTATAATGATGTAATGTGTTTATCAGACTGTAAGCACTCGATGTATATTAACTTTCATTAGTGGAAGTTAGTTCCCTGTAATTGAAACTTTTCGAACGATGGTGGACTAATCACTGAATGCAGACATTTCTCTTTTCTTTGTACTTTCTCCCTAGTATTGCAGTTATTTGCATATCTTCTTCCCCATTAGATTTTACATTTTTGAGAGCATGGTCCAAATATGTTTCATTTTGATAATCTCTAGAGTCCTTGACATAGGAAGCATTTGATAAAATTGGGGGATAAAGACTACTGAAGCAACAGAGGAAAGGCTGGACTAGGTGACCTCCAGGGTTTGTTTAGAGGCTAAAAGTCTCTTGATTCAATCATTCACTTATTCATTTACTCAACAAATGACATTGAGTGGCAAGCACGTGCTATGAAATAGCTAGCTGTCAGGGATACAGTGAATTACAGGAGCAGACATGGTCTCTGCCTACTGAGCCTATGCACCAGTTTGGTTAAGAAGCTGTACATTACCTGAACCATGCCCTCTGTCCCTTGAACGGCCTCAATGATAGTGCTGCAGTGTTTTGTTCCCCAAACTGCTGGCTCACTTGGTGCTATCCTGGAAAGTCACTTAAGAAGAGAAATCCAAAAGAGGAACAAAGTGGGAGTGGCTATTTTCCAAAACACACAGCTGTTTTTGGAAATGCAAATCTAGACCTCTTGGATAATAATGGAAGACATTTCTATCAGTAGCAACAGGCCTAGGAAGGTCTCCAATTAGTGCTACCCTTCCTGCCTTTTCCATTATACTCTGATAGTCCACCCTGAAGGCCTCAATGCAAGACAGAGTTTGGGAGGTGGACACATGACCTTAGAAAGGTTGTGCCCGTCTGATATATACAGTCCAAACTCAAGAGTGGAAAATCCAAGTTGAAAGGAAGCAACACAAAACCACATGCTCAGACACAGAGGCCATTCCACATAAAAGTAATGTGACAAACGCCATGAGTTACCAAAGGACACAGGCCACTCTCTGGCGATCCCTGGTATTCCACAGACTATGCATATATCTTTACTTAGAACACAAGCCTTTAACCCAGGCAGATCATAAATGGACTTTGGGGATCCGTGAAGTCCTGAAATAACATGCAGAATTGAGTAGGTAGGTGTTTCTTAGGGAGATGCTTTATAGCTTACATAAAATTCCCAAAGAGATCTGTGGCCCCTGGAATCTACCATGTTAACAGGAGACCTGTTGCTGACGGAACAGTTACTCTGAGTTGGAGACAATTGGAAAACTCAGTCACGTGCCCATCTTCCCCCCTCTAACGCTGACAATACAACCCTGTCCCTTGGGAAGGAAGAAGGGCCTGCAACCTGGATAAAAACCAACGACAGGGCCAAAGGACAAACACTGACGCTTTCACCCTCAGTGTCGTAATGTTATTCATTTATAATATGGTATTATTTTTTAGGATATAAAATTAACGTGGTTCCCAAAGTAAAAACTATACAAAAGGTATATGCAGAGAAGTGTGATCCCCCATCCATCACTACCCATCCTTTCCACTCCGTTTCCCCACGCCCCTATATGCAACACATTTCATTCATATTGGGTTTATCCTCCCTGTTTTTCTTTTGGTGAAATTTAAACAGGTATTGAATATATATATATTTTCTTCCCCCTCCTTTTTTTCTTAGACAAAAGATAGCATAGAATAAATTGTATGTATATTCTTTTGTCCTTTGCTTTTTTCCACTTAACAAAATATCCTGAAAGTCCCTCCATTATTAGGCATAGAGGTCTCCTTCCTTTGTTTTAGAGCGCCATAGTACTCGGTTGAGTGGACGTATCATAGTTTACTGGGTCTACTAGGTATGGAAACTTAGGTTGTTTCCAATATTTTGCAATTATAAACAATGCTGCAAAGAAAAACTTTGTGCATATGTATCTTCATATGTACATATGTTGGCAGTATATCTTCAGAGCAAATTCCTATAAAGGGATTGCTAGATCAAGAGTTAAACACATGTAGTTTTTTTTTTAGATATTGTCAATTTCCCCTCCAAAGTTTTCTATTATGTTTCATTGCTATGAGCCATGGGAATGCTCGCTTTTCCAGAGCTTTGTTAAAGAGTGTGTCAAGTGTTCTAAACTTTGTTTTCAATTCTGATAGGTGAGGAATGGTATCTCATTTTAGATTTAATTTTCATTCCTCTTACTATGTGAAAAGTTGAAATATTTTTATATATTTAAGAACCATTTAAAAAACCATTTGGACATATTTTGCTCATTTTTCTAATGATTTTGGCTTTCTTTTATCCTCCTCAATT